ATTGAGTGATTCCATACTTTTTTCCTCAGAATTGAGTGATTCCATATTTTTTTCCCCTGTGCTTGGTCAATAAAAGTAACATTCACTGACTTCCACAATGTTTTCTCATCATTTCTTTGAGTGTTCCTGAAAGCCAACAAGTTGCACTTTGGAATGACCTTATTATTGTATCATGTTTTTGATCTGAGTTTGTTTTACAGAATGAAACGTCTGAATGAGTGCTCATCCAAGACTGGTGATTCCATACTTTTTGCTAGGGGTTGTAGTAATTTTAAGCTGTTTGTTGTAAAACTGAAGCAAGACATTCTGGGTAAGCTACAGGACGAAGAACAGGAACCTGCTCTTTTCAAAATACGAGCGTAAATTTGAACTGTTGTGTGTTTCTTTATTTATGCCGTGGTGTCCCTCTGAGAGGAGGTACAAAATGCACAGCTAAGTGTGCTTCTGCAGATCAGAACCACAGGTGGATTGTCACCCAGTGAAGTAGCTCCAGTTGCTTCCTGCCACGCAAAAATTAGTGGGAACTCTCTACTAAATTAAAACCATTACCAAGAAGGACAGTAAGTCAGAGTATAAAGCTCTGTGAATGCAATGTTGCCAGAGGGGTCGCTGTTTCCACGTGGTGAAGCTCCGTTTTGTTAAATAGAGATGGCTTTCCACACCATTGTTCGTAGTGAGACTAGACGGCTCTTTCCCTTCATTTTAGACGAAATTGACGATCAAATGTGAAACATTATTTGCAATTAGCGCTACTCAATTCTAAATGTAGAGAGCGCAAATCTGCACATCATTTAAAGAAATTAGTAAAACCCTTAAAGCGCAAAGGAGGAATTTAGGTTTGCAATTAGCGCATTTGCGCTTTATGGGACTAGTGCCCACCACTGCTGAAAAGTTATAAAAATGGTGTTCAAAAGAAACACTGAATGTCAAATTGTAGAAATATGTTCTAAAAAGCCTTGGACAATAATGTTATAGCACATGGCCCCACATGACTTGTATTGTGCATAGATCCACGATATTCTAATTACAGCAATAATACTGTCACAGAGCTTACAGGTAAAAGGTGATCCCATAGGTTCTTGTTTTGATGCCACGGCTGTTAGAGCAACCATAGGCAACACAAAAGTCAAGCATGTTGTGGAGCTGTACTTCTGAAAACACAAAGCTGCAATTTGTTTTAAACAAAACAACCTGCTTGGAAATCACGTGCAGCTTGAGTTAAGTTAAAAACAAAGAGCTCCCACACATCTTTTGATAAAAACACATAGTGCAACATACTTGCTTAAAATGTTCTCTGTTAGCAAAATATTTTTTAACTAACATTTAACATAAAGAAAATGGTCAAATATTACTAAAAAGTTAATTATGTCAATGCACCGGAACACCCCTGTTTTTTTTACCAGTATTTTTTCAAAGGTGATGTGGACTGCTGTGGACAAATGCAGCTTTAACTGTA